TCCTGAGATTCCCCGGGCTCGGGCAGTTCACCCTGTGTGTTTGTGTCTTCTCAGCTCATACTCCACAGTTTGACCTGCTATGAGGAGCTGGTGACTTTCCTTCAACAAAACATCCATCAGGTACGCACTGTGGTTTAGTTTGTGGGCGTGCAGCGTTAAGCCTTCCACTTGGTTTGTGGATGAGATGCTGGTGAACTGGAGTTGTCCTCCCTCACCCCTACCCTGGGAGGTGGGGGCAGAGGCTAGGAAGGAGCTGGTGCTGGCCCTGGGCGCTGTGACTGAGGGCAGTGGGGGATTTAGGTTGGAGAAGAGTGGGCCTGGGGAGCAGGAATCTGTCCACTGTCATTACCTTCTTGGGGGCTCGTCATGGCTGCCAGGTATAGGATGCTGCCACCGTGGGGGCTGTAGCGGGGACGGAGTGGGGTGCAAATGAAGGGAAGAAGCTTCTAGACCATAGTTATGAGAGCTTTCTCCCTGTCTGAGGGGAAGCAGCCACCTCCAGAGCAAAGAACCCTTTGTCACTGCCCACTGATGGCCCCTGGGTGACCCCTCAGGACCAAGGTCCTTGGTATCAAATGGGCCCTGTACCCCCAGGTGTCCATGAAGCCCCAGCAAGACAGAGACTGTGAATGAGGTTCAGAGCGTGGGGCCTGTGCCAGGGGAGGGCGCGCCTTCCTTCTGTCGGCCTCTGGGCTCAGCAACCCCCCTCCTTGCCCCACTCTGGTCCCTGGGTACAAGCGGTCGATAGCTGGCCCTCTTTTCTCTGGAAGGCCATGTTTTCCCCTGCAGTTTAATTTGTGTTTTTGCTGGAAGCCATGGAGCTGCCTCAGCACAACCCTCACCAAATTCATTTTTCATGGCCTGGGCCTAAGAGGGCTTCCTCGTGCCAGGCCTGGAAATAAACACCGAGCCATCTCTGCCCAAAATAAATAGCCTCCTTGCTGTGTTTTCATTACCGCTCGCCCTCAGGGCGTGATGTCTGGCTGGCCTGTGAGCTGGTGATGCCTGCGCCCCTGCCTCCGATTGGGGTTACTGATGGGGTCTGGTCTCTGTAGGCCCCAGAAGCGCAGGGAATGGCCCTCCTTCCCCAGGGGACAGACATTTTCCTGCCCCTAACGATGGTTTCTGGCCTTTCAGCATAGGCGCCTAGCCCTGTGGTCTCCATGTCTTGGCAGCTTGAATTTGATGAGATAATTTTAATAAATGTGGTTTTTTTTATAAAAACAAAATGGGATATGGGTGCCATTCAGTCATTCTGGCAAGGGCCAGAAGCCCAGGCGGGGGTCACTTCCTTACCATCTGTAGTCTCGCCTAATTGGGGCTCGTGCTCAGGTCCCCTCGGGGTGTTCCAGCAACTGTGGAAAAGGCTGGCCCCAGTAGTAATAACAGTTCTTTACGTTTATGGAGAGTGAGGGCTGACAGCGGGCTCTGTGCCCCCACTCCATCGCAGTCCTGTGAGGAGACGGGCATTTCAGGCCTGGCGAAGGGGAGGCAGATCCAGAAAGTGTCATGGCTTCCTCAAGACAGTGTGCAAGCCCAAGGCAGAAGTAGGCAGGCATTCCAGAAGGGGAGACTGAGGCTAGCAGAGCTTTGTCACTCCCTAAGGCGACATGCAAATCTGTCGTAGAGCTGTGACAAGGATGCAGGTGGCCCAAGCTCTCTAGGCCTCTGTCCCCTGCTGCAGGGACGTCAGGACTACTCTTTGCAATTGTCACAACATGTCCACAGACATGGTCTTGTCCCGTGTGCACCGCAGCCCACGGAAACATGCGGAGTAGGTATTCACTATCCTCATTCTGCAAATGGGGACACTATGGACAACAGAAGGGAAGTGACTGCCTGATACTGCTGTTGATTCATTCATTTCGTTTCTACTTCCAAAAAAAGATGGAAAGTTACTTATTGAAAAATGGCGTCCTCAGGCTTCTCTGTGTTTTAACTAGAGTAAACCTGCCCTCTCTTGCCTCTGGGCCTTTGCACGAGCTTTCCCTTTTGAGTGGAACTGCTTTCCCTCTGATTCCTCCCTGTCCCTTGGGTTTCTGTTCAGACATCACTTCCTCCAGAAAGCCTTTCTTGATGCCCCCTCCTTCCCTAAACCCTGCGTCTGTACTGAGGGCCCTGCCTGTGCGTTTCCAGAGGACCTTGTATTTCCCTCAGAGCAGAGCCCCTTCCCCGCCCTTTCAGCTGCTGATTATCCTTTCTTCCCTGACTGACTTCTCACGAGAGCAGCTCTGTGTCCACCTGTACAACTTTAGCAGGTAGCATTCTCTTGGCACAGAGATTTCATGTGGCACTTTTTTTTAAATGACTAATTGAGTTATTGGATAAAAGTAAAGACATATTTTGAGAAAAAGAACAGTTAATTTTATCAGAAGCTTGAACTAAAATAGTTACCACAGTTGAGCACCATATTTGGCTCTGAGCTTCCTGGCAGCCAAGGCAAAAATGAAAATATGATAAATTCTATAATTCTTATTGTTCCAGGAAAAAAAGCTTTTTTCTAGTTATAACTGATCACATGTAAAGAACTATTTTAACAGGCAGCATCTTAGACAACAGTTCATGGAAGTGGGATGAGTAAGATTTTCACACTGATTTGTAGCTGGGGGATAGCATTTCTCTAGGGAACCAAAGTGACATAGTCCAGCCCAGTAGACTGTGGCCTGCGGGGCTCACTGGACAGGTGGGCAGTGGGGAACCAGCATTCCACTAACAGCTAACACAGGTGCTAGGCCCTGTTCCAAGTGCTTTACAAAGGTGATCTCACTTTGACCGGTGACAGAGAAGTTAAGAAATGTCCCTGTGGTCACCTAGCTAGGAGTGGCAGAGCCGAGATTTAAACCAGGCAGCCCGGCTCTAAGCTGTGAGCTCCAAACCAGGGCCAGGACTAGGGGGAGACAAGTAAGGTGCTTACCTTGGGTGCCAAATTTAAGGGGGTACCCCAAACCTCAGTAATCAGCATAAATAACATTGTAATGCAATATCTAAAAAATAACAAAGTTAATCCAAATAATCCATGAGGAAGGAAATACAAAAATTTTTAAAAGGCCAGATCTGCCCTTGCTCTTGCCCATCTCATCTCACTGCCCCTCCTGACCCAACTCTGCTCCAGACCTGCTCTCTGCTACTCTCTCCATGGCACAGTTCTTCGGAGTAAGGAATTTGGAATCAGATGCAGCCCCCTGCAAGCCCACCGGTCTGCTTATCAGCTGCATGTTCTGGGCCACTTGCTCAGTTTCTGAGCCCCAATTTCCTTATCCTGCACAGGGCATAATAGCCCTTACGGAACAGCTCTGCCATAGTTCAAATGTGATGATGGGCATGACACATGCATTGGTTACGGAGGCTGCTCCTGCCGCTGCTCCCTCTTGAGCCTCCAGGGCTTGGAGGTGGAGTGTGTGCTCCTTGGTGAGCACTGTGCCTGCTCCCATTGTCACTCAGGCTGGAGTGCTCCTCATTCCTTAGGGGGTCTGCCTTGGGGCCACCCAGCTACCTCTGGGGCCAGGCTGGAGGCAGCTGGCTCAGGGTCAGGCTTTTCCCTGGGCTGTGGCCCCCAAGGAAGTGAGAGGAGGAAGGTGCAGACCTGACGGGTGCTCATTCCTTTCTCCTCTCCTTTCTCCCAGTTTGAAGTAGGCCCCTTTGGATGCATCCTGCTCACCCTGTCTGCCATCCTGTCCCGGTCCACAGAGCTGTGAGTATCTTTGTCCCTCACCTCCCGGGCGTCTTGTCTTGTTCACTGTGCCTCCCCAGAGCCCAGGTGGTGCTTGGCACACAGTGGGTGCTTACCTAGTGAGCCTGGTTGGAAGGATGAATGAAGGCTGGGGAAGAGAGGGCAGTTACATTCTACATACCCATGTGTTCAGTGCCACCTTCTCTTTGGTCTCCCTGCATGTGCTCGGGAGTCTGGGGGATGATCTGCGAGTTTGCTGGGCATACTTCAGCACTCATGCAGACTCCCCTGGGACATGTGTGAGGATAGGCAATTGAGTCTGAGACCTGGGAGGCAACCGAGGGCCCCTAAGAGTTCAGGGAAAGGGTGACTCACCCTAGGCCAAGGCAGTCTGCTAGCTGCAAGACTCTTGTCTATGGGCAGTCCTGAGAGATGACTGGGCGGGTGCTTGGGGGCTGTGGATGCAGAGGGAGCAGAAGGCTGGTCCCCATCTCCAGGCATCCTTATCAAATGTGGCCTCAGAGCTGGAGTTCCTCCATTGCGCTCATTCCCTAGAAGCTCTCTAGACTTCTTATCCAGATCCATACCTGGGCCTACGTCACCAGGGAGAGTTCAGATTAATGGCACATTAATAATCTTGTGGAGTACAATCTATTGCCATATTCACTTGCAGTCAGAGAGCAAGCCCTGGGAGTGTGGAGACCTGGGGGAATGCATTTCCACTTTGGGGTGCTTGGTGTGGGGAAGATTTGGAATAACCCTAAGCAGGTGGGCCTTGGGAAGTGAGGAGGCAGAAAGTGTCACCATGGGGTGCCCAGGCTGGGGAGGCCCAGGAAGAAGGAGACACTTGCTCCTGTGTCTGTGCCTGGGCCGGCCAGTCATGCTCCCTGTGGCCTCCTGTGCCGGTGGGAGGACGGCAGGGTCTGAGGCCTGGTGCTGCCCGCCTGCCTGCTGGCTGCTGCTGCTGACCTTATTCAACACATGTGCACAGGGCTTTCTAATGACATTTTCTTCTAATCCTGCCACAATGATATGATTCATTCCTGGCCTGGGCTCACGTGCATGGAGACCATAAGCTGCGCTGCCTTCTTCCCAGGCCTGGGTTTGCTAATCCCTGGGCTGACTGGGTGCTGGTGGTTGGGGGGGTGTCTCCAGCTGTGGGTGAGACCCCTGACCTCAATGAAAGGAAGCTGAGCTTTCAGAACAGACAGGCCTGGTGACGTCTGGCTGCGTGATTCACTCAGCCTCAGTTTCCCTACCTGTACGGCGGCCCCTTTTGCTCTGGGGGTCTAGGCCCTGGTTCCCCAGATTGGGAGCGGGCACCCTGTTTACATGTCTACTCCTGCAGGAAGCATCTCTGGCAGTCTGTCCAGCTGCAGGGACTTCAGGCCCCGCGTCCAGGCTGCTCTTCACGCTCTCCAGAGCTGGATGATGGACTGCTTCTGTCCCCTTCCTGACCCATTTGCCTACGTCAGGCAGGGGTCAGTCCCTGCCCAGCCATGGCACCTGTGGGGCATGTGTGTGGGGAAGGCTGCCTTGTTGGACCTACCAAGCCTCATGCCAATGGGCCTGAAGTTACAATCCTACCAAACCCCTTCCCATTCACTACAGGCACACGCACACATGCAGAGAGACACACATACAGGCAGACACACACACAGACACCCATGTACAATCCAGTTGTAGTCACCTCCTCCCCTCGTTCCCAGGGCAGGAGAGAGAGAGCATTATGATTGACAGTCCCCTTCCCTTCACGGCCTCTCAGGACCTTCCTGGGTCCTGGAGGCCTATGGTTTTGAGGCCTCCCCTGGCAGCTTTGCCCAGCCTGGTGGAGACATGGCTACAGGTGATGGGTCCTCCTGCAGCTGTGCTCAACCTTGGCTGGTACATCCCGAGTGGCCCAAGGCTCCCTGGGCACCATGTGCTGTTCCTCAGATGGGGCAGGAGAAGACAGCGGAGGACCCTTCCCTGCCTGTGAGTGCGCTGCCCAGAGGTGTGCTGGAGGCGACACCAGCTCGCTCTTGTGTTTAAGTTGAAGATGACTTTCAGTTAGGCTACCTGAGGGCGTCATGTGGGGCATAGGGCAGGCCTTGAGCTGCCACCTCTGGGGTCTTCTCTAAGCTATGTTCCCTCCCTCCCAGGCAGTCCCAGGATGGCTGCCTGACCACTCCATGCCCCAGGGCTGCCAGAGACAGTGGCATCCTTAGGGGGTGACAGCTGAGGAGGAAAGACAGGACTGGCGGGGAGGACAGGACTAGCCTGAGCAGGCGTGATGCTGCCCAGATCTGTGAGAGGATCATGCTGAAGTTACTTAAAATAGCACTGAGCATTCCTGGCATTTCTGAGGGGCCCTCTGAAGAAGCCGTTTGCACCTTGGCCTTCGGGGAAGGGAGCTCCTGGAGTTGGCCAAGCCCCTCATGGGCCGGTCACATTGCAGGCCCCACAGGGCTTCCTCCGCTTCTAAGAGCCTCTGGTCTCCCGCCTCGGGAGGGATGCCGGGCCTGGCTCAGGGTTTGTTGTGATCCGCTTGGCAGTGGTAATGGTCCCGGGACAATGGAAACCCATCTCATCCTGGCCTGCCTCGGGTTAGCTGCTTGCGAAGGCCTCTCTTCATAGACATTTGGGCTCTCAGGGGAAACGTCCCCCAGCACAGGCACCATTTGTCAGACAGAGCTGAGGGCTTGTCCAAGGCAGCCCGGTGGGTGACAAGTCACACAAGAGGAAGTATCCCCTTCATTGGCTATGATGTAGCTGCAGGACTTCTGGTCCCCATCTTCACCCTGCTGCTCACAAGCCGTGAGGCTGATACCACCTGCTCCTCAGCGTTCACATCTCCAACAGGAGGGATTGGATTAGTGCTTCTTAACGTCTTTTTGTCGTGAAAAGAAATCAGATTTTTCTAAAGAAACCATATCCCAAAGCTCACTGAGGCAAAACTGCTTTGAGGGGAGCAGAGGGAGTGTGGAGGCAGAGACTCCTCTTATGGAGAAGCCCCCACTTTGAAAACCACTGGGCCAGACGTTAGCCAAGGGTCTTCCTGCTCTGGGTTCAGATTCAGCTGTGCCAAAGCCTTCGAGGCCGTTGCAGGGGGATCTGTTACCATCTGTGTAGTTGACGACATCTCCTGGTGGCCCAGAGAGAGAGCAGAGTGTCTCAGACCACAGGCTCTTCAGCCAGAGCAAAGTGGAGTGGGGGGCTGGGAAGCCCACCCAGTTCTTTACAACACTGTGTGTATGTGTGTGTGTACACACGTGTGCTTGTGGTGGTGTGTGCGTGGATGAGAGATAGGTGAGGCTTCAGGGCTGGGTGTGAGGCAATATGGTGTTGGTGGTGGTTGTGTTTGATTGTGGGAAGGGTGACTTGATTGTGTGTATGTGTGAGTGTATGTGTATGTAAATGTATATGTGTGTGTGAGTGTATGTGTATGTATGTGAGTATATGTGCGTGTGTGTGTGAGTGTATGGATGTGTGTCTGTGTATGAGCGAGAGTGTGTACGCCTGTGTGTGTGTATGAGACTGAGGGTATGGCTATCCCTCCCTCCTAGCAAGGCTCTCGGACTCATACCTGAGGCCCACGAGCCGTCCTCACACCACAGTCAACATCTCCTGTCCCCCTGATGTCCCCACCACTGGGTGGAGCCAGGGCGAGGGCGTGCGGCTTGGCCACTTCACCCTCAAGGCTAAAGAGCAGGAGCAAAACTGGCCTTTGAGTGTTGTTTACCCTGGGCCCACTGTGTAGCCGTATGAAGGTTTTGTTTTTTTCCACTTGATTTCAAGCCCTCTATTTTCTTTCCTCAGATCTCGAGTTGCTCACAGTAAATCTCATACAGGCTCTCGTGTTCCCCTAGCTCCCAGCTTTCCAAACCACACAGCCTAGAACTTTCCAGCACGCTCTCACAAGCCCAAGGATGCTCCGGGCCCTGGGGTGAGGGCCACTCCAAGCCAGGCCTGCGCAGGGCGGGGGCTCAGCGCCTCGGGGAGCCAGCGGTGACGTGGCCTGGCATCGGGGGGCTTGGGCGGTTCCCCTTCTGATGGCTCAGGCCTGGGGGTGGGGGAGACAGCTTGTAAAGAGAACCTTTTCATGAAGCAGACCCTTGGCATTCGTTACAGTGGCAACTCAGTTGCCCAAGGCCATCCTGAAAGTCCCGAATAGGAGGTGGTTTGTCATGTGCGGAAGTAGTTTTTGGACAGCCCAGCCAGGCAGTGGGGGCTAGGGGCGGTGTGTGCACCATGGTGCTCTGTTGCTCTCAGTTCTGTCCAAGCATGAAAACAACAACAGCAGCACAGTTTACGTGTTTGTGGAAACAGCCCCCAAATGAAAGCCAACCGTGAGTTTTGGTTGTGCAGAGGCAAGAGACAGAAACTCAGTTTTTAGCCAGTGTCAGCTGGAGACTACACTATTGATCGGCTCATATCAAAGGCTTAGGGCTTTAGGAGGGCCTGGACCTGGAGCCCAGACAGTGTCTTGGGGACCTGATGTTCTTCCTTTTGTCTCTTTAGTCTCCTTTCCTCTGTCTCAGCCGTGTTCTCAGGGGCTGGTGGGGGACTCCTTTCTCTAGCACCCCTGTGCCTGCTGGGAGCCATGCCCCCATTCCTGATGCCTCATGGGGCATGTGAACACAGGGGCTAGGAAACCACAGAGGCCTACCACACTGGCCGGGAAGAGATGGGATAGCAGGTCGGGAATGGGGAGTTTGGGCTGTATCAGGAGAGCAGATGTGAGTGTGGGGCTGGGTCGGATCTGGGCCGTAGTGGAGGCCCACACAGGCTCCAGGCCAGGGTTTGAGCAGGGGCTATTCTTGTTGAGAATCCCAGGTTCTTGGTGGTCCCACGTGTCTGTGCTGATGGGAGAGGACAGATAGGATATGTGTCTGCTTTCTCCACCCTCTGTCACCCCACCTGAACTCTTCCATCCCGGAATAGCGAGGCCTCTCTCACCTGGGTCTCCCACGTGTAACATGAAAGGCGGGACAGGATGGTTAGGAGCCCTTCCTACCCTACATGCCAAGGTCTTTTGACTG